TTTTTGTCTTTTTTTTTTTTTTTTTTTTTTGGCTAGAAGAATTTATGAATGGCCGGTAACTTAAAAATTTAGTAGCCAAATTGGCTGGTGAGTGAAAAAGTTCATTTCAATCCCTGTATACAGTATATATATATAAATAGCTGTGTCTCATTTAGAAGGCTGCGCCCTCCGGAGGTCGCATTTGAAGGCTGCATACGTCATCGAGGGTGTCTCATTTCAGAAAAGCAAGTGGGGCACTCCGAATGCGACCTTCTTTCACAGGAATTCGGAGGATGCATGAGGTGTATCCTTTGCTGCTACAGGTAACCCCCAATTATTTGCGTCGCCGTAAACAACTGTTGTTCATTTGAAAAATGCTGGCGCCGGCAGATGTACACACAAGCGCAGATGTGGTGTTTACAACTTGCCTTAAATCGCCTCGGTAAAAACGGATAAACTTTGTTTTTAATATCCTCCTCCTTTTTTCAGATGTCTGCTGTATGTACACTGCAGCTCCTCAATGAACAAAATAAAACGAAGTAAAAAGTAAAAGCATTTTTTTTTTTCAAATTACTTTCCAAATTTAGAAAATGTTTTCCTTCATTTAAGTAGTGTGAGAGCGCAACGATGCTCTAAATGTGTTGGCATAGTAACGTAGCGTATAGGACACTTTGTATATGCATCCTACAGAGGATGCGACCTCCAGAGGATTCGACCTCCGGAGGGCGCAGCCTTCTAAATAAGACACAGCTAGGAACGGTTTTTATTTTCTGCGATGTCGCAGCAGGAACAACATACAAAATATGACAGTGATAATCTCAGGTAATGATTATGTGCTTTATTCAATGTTAAAAGTGTCTAATCTTTATAGCCATAGTGAAAGCAAAAATATATATTTGACCTCAGATCTTGGAAATAAATTAAAGCAAACTTGTACGTTAAAATAGTGAACTCACTGCGAACCAACATGTGTATTCCATAACAAAGATATCAGTCAGTTACTCACTCACTCACTCACTCACTCACTCAAAACTGTTCAGTCCATTCACATTTGAGTCATCTATTTTCCTTGTCCACTTTTCTTTTCTATACACTCGCTGTCACATCGAATAATGATTAAAATAGAGTCTGGGTACCTTTGCTCCATTTCAGTTATTTGTTCGGCCAGCTGTTGCATCGCGGCGCTCACGCACGCGTCCGGAGGCACGTACACATTCATAAGAATGAAAGAGGAAAACTCCCGCGGCGAGTAGAACGGTTTACAGTTTATGATGAGTGCCTCTAAATTAGGACAGCATACCTTTTTCAGCGTTGTTACATCTGAATACCAACTTTCGTTGATGTAGAAACACAATCCACCACCTCTGGTTTTCCCCGTTAACTCCGCAATGCGATCCGCTCTGAACAGCTGGTAGCCCGGCAGATGAAGCGCGTTGTCCGGAATGGCTTCACTCAGCCAGGTTTCACTGAAGCACAGTGCAGCAGAGTTTGAAAAGTCCTTGTTGGTGCGGGTGAGGAGAAGTTCATCCGTTTTGTTAGGAAGGGAACGGACATTCGCGAGATGAATGCTTGGGAGCGCAGTCCGAAAGCCGCGCGTGCGAAGCTTCACCAGGGCGCCGGCGCGTTTCCCTCTTCTGCGTCTGCACGCGCGTTTGAACAACACCGCTGTACCTCCGACTAGAATGTCCAACAAAACGTCCGAATAATCAAAAACCAGAAAAATGTTGTCCGGGATGTGCTGCTTAATGTTAAGGAGTTCGTCTCTGGTAAAACTTATAGAAGAAGAATGACAAAACACAGAACAAACAAACAAAAACAATAGAAGTTAATGTAGCTTTCTGATGCTGCGTTTGAATATTTATGCCACATTATTTGAAATTAGCACGTGCCAAACTTTTTTCCTCTCACGGGCCAGATGTGGCCTGCGGGCCGCCTATTTAGGAACCCTGGCATCGACCAACAATGACAAACATAGTACAGATGAGCTGAAAAAATACTGTAATGTTTTAGACTTGTCTTTTCTCTTTCATTTTTGATGATTTTGTTTTTGTTTTGAAAACAATATTAAAAAGTTATTTCCATACTGCTTTTTCTGTATAGAAAGGTATGTGGATCAAAACAAGTTTTCAGGTGTCCTTTTTTTCCTCATGTCCTTCCTTTCTTTCTTTCTCAGAACCTTGACGTATACAATAACACCTGTCTTGTGCTGTTATATGCAATATCTTGTCTCTCTCTTTCTCTTTCGCACACACTTCTCTTTGCACCTGTTTTCAAAAACTTTTAAACCGCTTTTCCCTCCTCTTCCTTTTCTCTTTATCTGTCTTTCATTTGCATGTATTTTCACTAATTCATTTGTCGGAGTGTCTCTGTGGCAATAAGCAGAGTTCTGTAATAAAAGGGAAAGGGAGAAATGTAATGTTTCGGTCCCAGCTGAACACCCCGGCAGTCAGATCACTGTCCCTCACCCTTTTCTGTCATTCACTAACTTATTCTCTCACCTTCCCTTTATTGCCGTTCTTCTGAAATCGGATTTTAGCTCAGGAATTGTGAGTATTTGTGACAAAAGCAGGCAGAGGTGAAAACCCTGCTGTCTTGATATATGAATGTTATCTTGATACTGCTGAAGTTCTCGTCTGGCCCTCGTCTCAACTAGTTGAAGTAAGTTTCAAATGCAGAAGACATCAAGCTCATTCATTCTTTTTTTTATCAGATATTATCACCATGCAGTGGACACACACATGCACACAAAACAAAGAGCGTGTGTGGCCTGTTGATGAATTACTGCAGGGAGATCTTGATGCAATCTCTCTCTCTCTCTCTCTCTCTCTCTCTCTCTCTCTCTCTCTCTCTCTCAAACCTTTAGCCATTTTCCTGGGGTCATTCCGTATGCCCTACGAGGAGATCAGGAGAATTATTTTAGAGGTGGACGAGGATCAGCTGACTGAGCCCATGATCCAGGTAACATCACCTCTCATCACCATTCATGACCTTTCAAGCATGCACATGTTCAAAGAATACTGCCTAAAATGTGAAGAATTCAGGGTGCATTTTTCAGCAGCCTGGTTAACGGATTGCACACCCATGTAATGGGCTGCTTGTACAGTATAACTGATACTTGGTAACCAGGCCAGGTATTCTGAATACTGTGAATGGTAGAAATGAAAGGTTTTCTCCCTTTGTATATATACGTGTGTATATACGTGTGTATATATATATATATATAACTTACTCTCCTTGTCTCTTCTTTATTTCTTCATTTTTTGGAACTTCATGGATGTAAACCAAACAAATGACGCATGCTAAAAAAGCCTGGCACCAGAGCAATTAAACAGCTTCCCACTATGCAATACTTGAGTTAAAATAAGTCTCATAACAGTAAGTAGTGATAGTTTGACTTATATGTAAAATAGCATATGTTTGCACACCTGTGATAGCGTGAATGACCACTGACCACACATCACTTCTACAGTAATTGTGCTTTGTTTCTGAGCAACCGTAAACAAGTAACACAGTGCTTACACCGGACACATGCAGTGTGCACATCAGAACTAAATTGCTGCCATTATAATCAAGGAAACTATCTACACTAGAAGCACCTGACTGAGTCAATACACACTATTGATTTTTATAAATCGCATTATAGTAATACTGCACAGCAGCATAGCAGAATCTGTTGGTTAGAATATTTCTACTGTTGCGTGGTTTAAATGCATAAATTTCATTTTTGTGTTTATACATTAAACATTCTCTCTCCCTTTGATTTTCCCCTGCTTTTTATCATCCAGCACTGATGTCAGGCTCAGCTTTATGTATTCATCAGTAGCTCAGTTCACAGCAGGTTTCATTCACTATTATAGTTTTAAAATATCCACTACTTTTTAAGTGATTGTTTAAATGGTTTTTAAACAATCACTTAATATTCAATCAGTTTCTGTTCTAACTTTTTCATCGTTTGAAGTACAGTGTGTAGCATTACAGTCTACTTCATCCCTGCTGTTCTGTCCTCTCATCTATAGGCCACCTAATGTTGGAAGTACTAGTGAGTTTTCTGAATTTTTAACTTTTGTTGCCCAGTTGTATGATCATATGTTGCTACTGGGTGATTTTAATATACATCTTTGCTGCCCGGGGCGTCCTTTGGTTGCTGAGTTTTGTAATATCTTGGACTCGTTCGGATTTTCTCAACATATAAATCAAGCAACTCATGTTCTTGGTCACATACTTCACCTTATTATGTCATATGGTTCTTCTGTAGTTGATGTTGTCATTGATGATGCTTCCTTCTCTGATCACAAACCCATTCTTTTTAAGGTTCCTGCTGTAACCTCTGCTACTGTGAATAAGCCTGCTGGTTTTTATTCTCGTTTTATAAACTCACTGACTGTTTCTCAGTTCAATGAAGATTATTTAGCTAATGCTGTTGAAAAATCTATCTTGCATGCTGCAAAGGCGTCCTATGGGCCTGACGATTTGATTTCTCTGTTTTACACAGTTTGTTCTAATATCTTAGATTCTATTGCTCCTTTTAAAATGAAACAACCAAAGATCAAATCTTATTACTGGTTGGATGACAATGCTCACTATCTTAGACAGGCATGCCGTAAAGCAGAGAGGAGATGACTGGAAGCATGATCGTCTGACTGTCTCTCTTGAGATTTTTAAAGAGTGTCTGGTTAATTTTCAGAGCGCTGCTAAATCAGCTAGATCAAAATATTTTTCAGAACTGATTACTGCACACTGTCATAGACCTAGGGTTTTATTCTCCACAATAATTCAGTAATTAATCCGAATCACCAGTTTTCTAGGGAGCTGTCAGCAGAGCTTTGTGAGACATTTTTGAGAGTTTTTGTTGACAAAGCGAGTGCAATTCGCTTATCTTTTACTTCACAGCTCTCAGACCTGTCTTTGAACTCGCCTGCTAGTCCATTTTCATTTAGTCATTTTCAACATGTCTCTTTAATGGAACTTTCCGATCTTGTTAACAAAATGAAGTCTACTAACTCCTCACTGGATGTTGTTCCTTCTGAGATCATAAAAGCAGCTTTTCCAGTAATTGGCCCTAGTGTCCAAGTGTTGATTAACTCATCTTTGGACACTGGTGTGGTTCCGAACTGCTTTAAGCATGCGGTTGTTCACCCTTTGCAAAGTTGCTTTAACAATTTTCGGCCTGTCTCAAAGTTATCATTTTTGTCAAAGATTTTGGGGAAAGTTGTGCAATTACAGTTGATCACATTCTTAAATACAGCTAATTTATTAGAACCTTTTCAATCTGGTTTCACTGCTTATCACAGTACGGAGTCTGCTTTGCTTAAAGTGTTCAATGATATTTTGGTTGCAGTTGTTGCCAGTAAAAATGCTGTATTGATTCTACTGGATCTTACAGCTGCCTTTGATACCATGAATCATAATGTTCTTATTCGCCGTTTAGAACATTTGATCGGTATCAGGGGCACAACCTTACGATGGTTCAGCTCATATCTCAAAGACAGGTCTTTTTCTGTGGAGCTAGGCAAGTTTTCCTCATCATCTGCCCCAATTATTAGTGGAATACCTCAGGGCTCTATTTTGGGACCGGTTCTTTTTAACTTATATATGCGCCCTCTGGGGGATATTATCAGGAAGCACAATGTTTCGTTTCATTTATATGCTGACGATACGCAGTTGTACCTCCCACTAAAAGCTGGTGATTCCATTCCGCCATTGCTGGAATGTATCTCAGATATTAAAAAATGGTTCTCCAACTCAATGAGAACAAAACAGAAATGATTGTTTTTGGTCCCCAAAAAATGAGAATGGATATTATTGAGGAGCTGGGCAATCATTTCCCCTCCATTTCCTCACAGGATAGAAACCTGGGCGTCATCATAGACTCAGAATTATGTTTGTC